TGAAGGAGGAGCTGGAGTTAGATTATAATGATGCCTCTCCCCCCCCACCCCCCGACCCCAGACAGCTTTTGGGAATGTGTCTTTCCTAGGGTAGTGAAGCTCTGGCCCAGGGCAGGACCTGGGAGCCTGCAGGATGCGCTGCAGCCCTCGTGGTCCTCGGGCAGGGAAATTCCCCGCCAGGCAGCTGTGCCGTGGTTAGCTCCGAGATGAGTATGCAGGTACAGGCTTCTGGTGCTGCCGTTCAGTAATGGCGACAGGTAAAGAAAATCAGGGCTGCAAAATGCTTGTAGCTGTAACGCAGGGTTGCGTTACCCTTCCCCATTAAAATGGGACAGCTCTGCAGCCTTGTACAAAATCAGGGTGTGCACGCTTGAGTGCGGCAACTGAAAACCACTGAATGTATTGAATAAGGCTTTTGGTTTGATGCCTGTGCTGGGCAGTCAGAAATGGAAGTCTAGGCTGTGGTTTATAAATACTTTTCAAGCTTAAGTGAAACACTGGTACTCGCTGACAGCCGTGACTTCTGATTTTGGGCTGCGTGCTGTGTGGAGGTGAGTTAGGACTGAAGGAAAACTGTTGTATCAAGAGCTGGATTTCTTGATAAAAGTCTCTGTGGCCCCAGCAGCTGTGTTGCATGTTCCCTGTCGGTTGTGTTGCTCTGGGGTAACGTGACTCGGCTGTGCCCTGCTCACTCTTCTCCCAGTGGTTTCCTGAGGCTGCAGCCCCCCGCGGAGCTTGCCCACCCTTTGAGTAGGAGCGTGTTGACATCTCTAGGAGGTGCGGACCTCCAGGCAGGGGCAAACTGGGGATCTCTCTGCCCATTTGTGCATGGTGGAACCTGTGGCTGTGACGTTTTACAGGGGATCAATGGCAGGGGACGAAGCCGGCAGGGTTAGGCATGGACTCGGTGGAGCGAGATGGAGAGGAGATGCTGCCCAGTGTGACACTGGGCTGGCAGTGGCTTCGCTGAGCGGGTGGACGGGGTACCCACTGGTTCTCACTTTGCCAAAGCCCTGCCACAGTACCATGAAGTTCTTCCTTACTGCTTTTGGCCTACGAAGCAATATTTAACTCTTACGACCTGTAAAAGCAAAAAGAAGGTACATAAGGAAAGCACAAAGCACAAAATAATGCACTTACATTTATGTTGTTTGACATAAAATGCACTGGGGGGGAAGCTGGTGTTGATAATAGTATAAATACCTATATTTCTTGAAAAAGTGACATTAATTACTGCCTCTTGCTATGATGCTTGGTACTGTAATGTTGATATTCATCTGCTGTTGACTGCAGCAATAATTTGTGTATGGTCCATAGCACTGTAAATTATGGATCAATATTAATGTATCCAATGAAATAATTTGAACTGTTGTTCTTGATAGATGGATTAAAGCATTTGGTTTTTTCACATATGTCTGTGTAAGCCACTCGTTTTCCCTGTAAGTGAATCTTGTTTTTCTGTGCAGTTGAAGACCCAGCAGTGCTCCCGTGTTTGTGGCTTGGCGGTGGACGTGTCCGTGTTCCTGCCCTGCTGTCAGTCAGCAACCCTGAGCCGTTCAGTTGTGTTTGTATTGCGGGGGCACGGGGGGGACGGAGGTACGGATCAGGCCCCACTTGGGCTTTGCAAATACACACACACAAAAAAAAAACCCCAAGCAGGTAGAATCATAGAATCATAGACTGGGTTGGGTTGGAAGGGACCCCTAGAGGTCACCCAGCCCAACCCCCCT